GAGGTGCCCGACCCAGCCCCCCGCCAGTCCCTCGCACCTCCCCCCCCTCCCATCCCTGAACAAACAGGTCAAAGCAGAAGGTAGACACGTACGTCAGCGGGGTGACCAGCCAGCGCGGGACGCTGCCCTACACTGCGCCCGAGGTCATCCGCACGCCCAACCGCGTGACGGAGAAGGCCGACGTGTTTTCCTTCGGCGTCATCATGTGGGAGCTGTGGACCGGGCGCGAGCCGTACGAGAACCTGAACTACCACGCCCTCATGCACCAGCTGGCGATGCCCGACTCCCACGTCAGGCCGCCCCTGCCCGGCGCCCCGGACTGGGACGGTGAGGGCGGGGGGGGGGTCCGGGGGGGGGGTGGTCGGGGGGGGGGCGGGCGTGGTGGATGCGAGGGGGAGGGGGCCTGGCGACGTGTGCCTGGACATGGGGGAGGGGGAGTGGAATCCCGCGGGGGTTCTCCCCATCACACGGTCCATCGCCATGTGCGAAAGGGCTGGCGGTGGCCTGCGTGGCGAGGTGTCCACCTTGGTGGGCCCCAGAAACCTACCACCCGACCCAAATGCCCCCTGTCCCCGCACCTGCAGTCCCTGGCGAGGCCCCGCCGGAGTTGGCCCCGGGCTGGCGCGTGCTGCTAGAAAAGTGCTGGGCGGATGACCCCGACGAGAGACCCAGCTTCCCTGGTGAGGGGGGGGAGGGGGTGGGCGGGGATCGACAGAAATAGAGTTTCGGCCCGTACAAAGGACGAGGGCGTGCGCTCACGGCCTGCGGGTCACGATGCATGATGCCGACTGCGCAGCTGTGCTGGGTGGGGGAGGCGTGCATGCCGGGCGCTTGCCGCTGGGCAGCTGCCTGGACAGCTCGCGGGGTCCCTGCCACGTCGAGCAACTGGAGGGTGGAAGGGGAGGGGTGCGCAGCCTGCTGGTGGAAATTCCGAGTGTCTCATGCCCCACCCCCTCCCCTCTCCGCCTGCTGCAGACATCGTGAAGGAGCTGCGGAACATGGTGGGGGTGCTGAGGGCCGAGGCCCGCAGCGCGTCGGCCCGCCTGGCATCCAACGCCTCGGCCTGAAGTCGCACCATCGCGAGCAGGATGAGGACGGCCTGCACGCACCCCGTTGTCGCCTACTGAATTTCCTGGCCTGCCAGTACACGCCCCCCCTTGCGCAGTACCACAATCGATCTCTGGACCCCAAGCGGTTGCCTGTTTGGGCCCCGCGCGGCGGATCCATTTTTATGCTTGAATCTACCCCTACTACTCCATCGAGCGTGTCTTTGATCCCAACTCCCCAGGCTGTGTCTATAATTCCACGGTTGCTCCCCGTCCCCTCGTTCCCGCTCCCTTGTCTCTTCCAAACTTGCGAGCCTCCTGACATGTCTCCTGCCCCCCATGCGATGGCCGGCACCGTGCTGCAGTCAGCCTTGGCCTGCCTGCTGCTCATCGCATGCTCTCTCTCTTAAGACTCCAGGAATGACAGGGGAAGAGGGGGAGCGCCAGGGTGGGGGCGTCCGTGGGCCCGCGGGGTCCGGTAAGAAGCTGCTTTGAACTTGGGGCATGCTGCGCCGTGCGGGCCCCATTCGAGTCTGACCGCCGTCGGTGATAGGGTTTCTGGCAGGGCCTGGCGAGCCTCATACCACCCCAGCCGGCATGAGTGAGGCCCTGCATCGGATCACGGGACGGAGCAGAGGACAGACGCCCCAGCGGAGCCCCGGGATCCCCACTTGAGGCAGCCGTGGCAGCCCGACCAGACCTGCGAGGAAACGAATCGCCCTCCGCGCGGCCCCCAAGCCCCATCCTAGGCCCTCTACAGCCTCCCTTCTGCATTCCTGCTGTACGTAAGGGGGAGCAGGGCTCCCCAAAGGCCCGCTCGCGCGGCGCCCAGTGGAATTCGACAGGCCGCGCGGTGACCCGTGTGTGACCCTGTCCCCAGGATCGCACCGCCATGCCGAACCAAGGCGCCTCCCCCGTCGCGGAATTCAGCGGGCGCAGTGCCAGCGCCAACGACAGCTTGGCCCCCACGCACACCGTCACCTCGCTGTCGGACGAGCCTGGGGACGACGACGACGACGTCGTGGAGCAGGACCCGTCAGGTGTGCGCAAGGGTGTGTGCCTGACCAGACATGCCTGCCTGTGCAGGAGCAGTGCCATCGAGCATGGCCGACTGGGGGGGCAGGGCCCCCATGTGGCCCCCTGGCCTGGCAGGTCGTTTGAAGGGTGGCGCGGGAGCGAGCCAGCGCACGCATAATTCAGCCACCACACACGACACATGTGCTCGCGACCTCCCTCGTTCCCAAGAAGCCTCCTACCTCCAACCCCCTCACCTCCACCCCCCTATCCTCGCAGGCCGCTTCTCCCGGTATGCCAGCCAGGTGGGATCGGGTCGGTTCAAGCAGGTGTACCGTGGCTTTGACGAGAAGCGGGGCCTGGACATCGCCTGGAGCAAGATAACGGCGGCCACCACGGGCCTGACCCAGGACCAGATGATGCGGGCGGTGGAGGAGATCTCCAACGGCGTGGGCCTGGACCACCCCAACGTCATCCGCTGCTACCAGTGCTGGCTGGACGAGGAGGCGGCGTGCATCAACCTCATCACCGAGTTCTTCACCTCGGGCAACCTGCGGGACTATCGCCAGCGACACAAGAACCTGGACGTGAAGGCGGTGAAAAAGTGGAGCCGCCAGGTCCTGCTGGGCCTGTCCTACCTCCACAACAACACCTCCGTCATCTGCCACGGGGACCTCAGGTGCGAGAGTGATCTGTGAAGCAGCCTTTCCCTTTGGAGGGTGTGGGTGAGGAGCGATGCACTGTCATGGGGCTCTGAGTGTGAGGGATGAGAGACTGAGCAGGCGTACTAAAGGGGTTGCAGCGCATCGTGGCTGCCTCCAGGGTGTATACCAAACCATGGGCCTCAGTGTCGACAGCGATGGGCGGAAGTGACTCGTGATGTTGTCGGGTGAAGTGGTGGTCCCACACCTCTGCCGTCAATCCCTCTTTCGGCAACCTCTGTCCAGCATCAGCTTGTCGCTCCTCACCCCTCCCGCCGCGCACAGAGCGGACAAGCTGTACATCAACGGCCACAGCGGGGAGATCAAGATTGGGGACCTGGGTCTGGCAGTCCTGGTGCCCAAGCGATTTGCGCCTGGTACGTGTGCTGAGAGGGACATGAGTTGATTGCTTGGCATGCGGTCGGGAGATGGGAGTGTGTGTCGCAAACTGGGTGTCGGGAATTTTGTTCTCACACCAGGGGTAGAGAGGGAGGGATTCGGTGTGCGCACCCCTGTTTTCCACCCCTGACCCTGGCCCATGCTCCCGACCCCCCAGCTCACTTGATCCAAGTGACATACTCGCGCCACCGTTTCCACTCCAGCCCCTCCACCCCCCCCCCTCACCCCCCCCCTGAACCACCTTCTTCGCAGACGTGATGCCCGAGGGCGACCCCAAGGACCAGTACACCCCGCCCATCGACATCTTCGCCTTCGGCCTGGTGGTGCTGGAGCTGGTGACGGGGCGCAAGATGGACCGCGACCACCAGGCGCGCGGCCTCTGGCAGGCGGCGCTGGACGAGGTGGCCGACCCTCTGGCCTTGGCCTTTGTGGAGCGCTGCCTGGCCAGCGTGGAGGACCGCCCCAGTGCGCTGGAGCTGCTGGAGGACCCCTTCCTGCAGACGCCGCGCAAGTCGGCGGGCGGGGCGCCGGGGGAGGGCGAGGGCCTGCGCCGCAACCGGTCGGAGGCCGGGGCCACTCAGGTGCGGGGGCGGTTCGTGGGAGTGGGTGGCATGGGTGGGCGTTGCCGTGTGATGCACGGACCCCTGCCCTGCCCTGGCAGGCCTGGTCCTCTCCTGCCCAATCCCCTCCCCGCCCACCCACTCACATCCCCGCCAGCCTCCCCTCACACCCAAGCAGGGCGCCGGCCAGCCCGAGGATGCCCCCAGCCGCGCCCCGCTTTCCTGGTCAGACGAGGAGAGACGCGCCGAGTGCGAGGCCGGTTTCGTGCGCGGCGAGGACTACCTCTTCCAGTTCTCTGGCAAGATCCGGGGGGGGAAGCTCCACTTCCGCTTGCACATGCAGTACGAGGGCGAGGGGGGGCCGGAGGTGGACACCAGCTCCAAGACCATCGACTTCGTGTACGACCCCGACGCCGACACGCCCGACGAGATCGCGGCCGAGATCTCCAACGAGTTCAACCTGAGCTCCACGGACCGCGACATCTGTGCCGCGGCCCTCAAGGAGTGGCTCGCCAAGGAGATGGACGACCGGGACTGAGGGGGGAGGGGTGGCCGATGAA